GTCCGTTTTCATTCCAATCACAAAGAAAGGCAATGCCAAAGAATGCTCAAACTACTGCACAATTGCACTTGTCTCACAGGCTAGTAAAGTAATGCTCAAAATTCTCCAAGCCAGGCTTCAACAGTATGTGAACCGCGAACTTCCAGACGGTGAAGCTGGATTTAGAAAAAGCAGGGGAACTAAAGATTAAATCACCAACATCCATTGGATCATCAAAAAAGCTAGAGAGTTCCAGAAAAAAATATGTTTCTGCTATATTGACTATGACAAAGCCTTTGACTGTGTGGATCATAATAAACTGTGAACAAATCTTAAAGAGATGCAAATACCAGAATACCTGACCTGCCTCTTAAGAAATCTGTATACAGGTCAGGAAACAACAGTTAGAACTAGACATGGAACAAGAGACTGGTTCCAAATAAGGCTGCATATTGTCACCCTGCTTATTTAGCTTATATGCAGAGTACATCATGAGAAATGCTGGGCAGGATGAAGCACAAGCTGGAATCAGGATTGCCAGGAGAAATCTCAATAACCTCAGATATGCAGATGACACCACCCTTATGGCAGAAAGTAAAGAAGAACTATAGAGTCTCTTGATGGAAGTGAAAGAGGAGAGTGAAAAAGTTGCTTAAAACTCAGCATTGAGTAAACTAAGATCACGGCATCTGGTCCCATCACTTCATGGCAAGTAGATGGGTAAACAATGGAAACAGTGACAGATATTATTTTGGGGGGCTCCAAAATCACTGCAGATGGTGATTGCAGCCATGAAATTAAAAGAAGCTTACTCCTTGGAAGGAAAGCTATGACCAACCTAGATAACATATTAAAAAGCAGAGACATTACCTTGCCAATAAAGGTCTGCCTAGTCAAGGCTATGGTTTTTCCAGTAGTCATGTATGGATGTGAGAGTTGAACTATAAAGAAAGCTGAGCACTGAAGAATTGATGCTTTTGAACTGTGGTGTTGGAGAAGACTTGAGAGTCCCTTGGACTGCAAGGAGATCCAACCAGTCCATCTTAAAGGAAATAAGGAAATCAATACTGAATATTCATTGGAAGGACTGATGCTGAAGCTGAAATGCCAATACTTTAGCCACCTGATGGAAAGAACTGACTCATTTGAAAAGACCTTGATGCTGGGAAAGATTCACTGTGGAGGAGAAGGGGATGACAGAGGATGGGATGGTTGGATGGTATCACTGACCCAATAGACATGAGTTTGGGTAAAGTCTGGGAGTTGGTAATGTACAGGGAAGCCTGGTGTGCTGCAGTCCATGGGGTCGCAAAGAGTCAGACACGACTGAGCTACTGAACTGAACTGAATAGTGATTGGCCACCAGGATGTCTGCTCAAACAAGGAGTAGGGGAGTGGGAGGGTCTAACCAGATGCCTTCATGCCCATGTTCACTTCATTCCACCTTCGTCACATCTCAGAAATGCATCTAAACTCTATATCACATTTGGAGCCCTAGTCCCAAGGTAACATGCCTTTAAATCTCCAGTCTCTACAGTAGAGGATAGCAGTATAGAAAGAACTTTCGAACATTGTTCTGTCATGGCCCACTGGCCCACTTTTTAAAAAATGAAACTTATTTTGAAATCACTGTAGATTCACATTCAGTTTTTGGAAATAATACAGAGACAGCATGTATTCATTATTCACTTTCCTCAGATGGCAATGTCTTACAAAACCATAGTACAATATCACTGCTAGGTTTTATAGACATTGGTATAATCCTCTGGTTTTATTTAGATTTCTCAATTTTATGAGTGTGTGTGTGTGTGTATGTATGTATGTATGTATGTATGTTAAGTTCTCAGCAGTTTTATCACATGCATAGGTCTACTTCTATCACCACAGAAAAATATAAATACAAGGCACCTTGTTGTCCTCAATAGCCAGCAGTAAGGCTAAGTCCTCTCTCACATGCTTGGAGATAGCAGTAGCTGTAATTTCTATTCCAGCAACAGCAAAACTTCCCTTCCCAATCCCTATCTTTTCTTATTAAAACTTAGTGTTTTCCTCCAGGAGCAAGTTCAAAACTGCATTATCTAAGAAGCTATCTTCTACATGTCCCATTTCATCCTCAACAAGTGTCATCCTCTACACAATGCCCTTCTAAATTATACTTTTCTTTATGGCCATTGTCTTGCTTAAAACCTATTAAGTTCCTACTGCTTATAAGAAAAAGACTACCTCATTATTACACATTCAAAGACTTCAAGGGTCTTCAATGTGTTTTCAACCATGCTTTGTAGGCTCATCCCAGTAACTCCTCTGCAAACATCCTGTGTTCTTTCATTATAACACTATTTGCCACTTTCTAGAATATACTATGCAATTTTACATCATACTGACCCCTAAGCCTGAAAATATATTCACATATCTTGGGCCAATCAATATCTCCCAGTAAGGCTTCTTAAATATCTTCTGTTCTGTGAGGTCTTTCCTGAACTATGATTGACCTTTCTCATCCCAGTACCTTTTGAGAACCTGTACTAACCTGTTCTCTGATACATGTCACAAAAAGACTATAACACAGTTTGGTGAGTATTTGATGACCCCACCAAACAGTGAGCAGAGGAACAGAGCCTGAGGATGACTTGTGTTTCTACGTCTTGAACTTTCCATAGGCACTGAGGGTCAAAGTGTCAGGGAAGAAGGAATATTCTATTTAAGCCTGAGGGACACTGGGGCACACTGATGCCATTAGAGTCTTTATTAACATTTACACCTCTGGAAGAAATGGAAGGGGTCTGAGGATTCGAGGTTAGAAATTAAGGTCACTTGAAATATAAGAGTGATAAAATCTGCTTTGGGGTGTTTGAAAAGATATTTCAACAGTAGTTGAAAGCAATTACAATTCTATATAAGCCTCAGAGTACACTCTATGACTTGACCAATGTGTTACCTCTCAATATATGCAAACTAGATTAAGAAAATAACTGCTCCGTAATTTGGTGATATTTGAATATTGACTTTCAGATAAAGACAACTATTCTAAAATAAACTGAATATAATATTGAGTTGCATTCCCAGACAAATGATTCTAAAAATCCTTATGTAGGTGAATTATCAAAATTTTGTCAAAACCATCTTTATTGTTTGATATTTCATCATATTTTATCTTACCTTTTTCATGTTCTAAGTTGCAATATATCATTTTGTTCCAGGAACAACTATTAAAGGCCTAATTCCAATAGACAAGGCAAATAAAGTGTGCTAAAGGCTTATAAGGGCATCTGAACAGGGTGCCCTCAATGAAAATAAGGAGAGAATAATTCTTAGCTTAGTTTATATTTTATCTGCAGTATGTCCAGTGTGTAACATTTGTTACATGTTCTATCAAGTGTCTGAGTGCTTACTATCTTCCTGGTATTGTACCAGTCTTATTGGGAATAATAAAAGAAATATAAGAAGTGTTAAATCTTGGGTAAATAGCAAACTGGCTTTGAACAGGAAGAATGTCAAGGTTCTGAGGTCCTATTTTGGGACATTTAGAGAAGAAACATGCTTGAGATGAAACAAAGCAATTTCACTTGATTACCCTTCAAATAGTTTCCTGGTAAACCATTCCAAGTTTTTCTCCTATAGGATGACAACGTCCCAAAGTCCAGATTAGGTTTTTAAATTATTTTTTAATTGGAGGAAAATTGCTTTACAATGCTTTTTTGGTTTCTACCGTGCACCAATGGGAATCAGTCATAATTATACCTAAAAGCCCTCGGTCTTGTGGTCAACTATAGCCACCGGGGAATCAACTCTCATCATTGGGAGACCTTTGGGTGATGGCAAAAGCAACAGGAATAATGGCAGCCCTGATAACAGGGACAGTTGGACAGAGGGCAGCATTGCAACAGCAGACATGGGGCTAGGGCCCCACAGGGAAACTGACAAATAGGCATCATTGATTGAACTCTGAACTCTGAATCTGGCAGGTGGCCAGGTGCTTTATCTGCACAACAGTTAACCTTCACAGCTGTGATCTAAAATAGATCCCATCCACATTTTGCAAACAGTGAAGTGCAGAGTGATGAGGTAACTTTCTCAGTTATACTGCTAAATAGTAGCAGAGTCTAGATTTGCCTTTGAAGCCCATGGTCTTCCTACTACACTCTGATACCTCTCAAAAGTGAGGATACTAGAAGGACAGGTGTTCTAGGAACTTTTGGTGCATAGAGGCACCGAAGGAAAGACTGTTCTTGTTGACATCAGAATCATCTTAAGGTTGGCAAGGTCTGGGGATCCTGGTAGGTATGCAGTGAGTGCTGGTTGAATTAATTTGACAAGAGTTTACACTAGTGACACAGTCTAAGCCTAATATTCTCACCCTCTAGAACCTTCTCTGTCCCCTTTAGCATTGTTGCCAGCATCCTCCAGGTGGTGGGTGAAGTTCCCAGCCACCTCTAAAGAAGAAAGTTATCTATAAAGTGTCCCCTTGTTATTTCGGAGGGCTAGAGGGTTGCTAAGAGAGGTGTAAACCTATCAGAGGTGTAAAATCAGCCTTATCAAGAACAGAGTGATTACAGTTATCGACGTGCTTTAGACAAGCCTGGCTCGGCAGGCTGAGAATCTGAGGTTAAAACCATCATCACTGCTCCCACCGATAACAAACACACGCCTATTACTGCCACTTTTTCCTCCTCTTCTCTGGGAATGCTCATATATCACCAAGAAAACCACTTGCATCTCCCTTATATTTATACCAATGCCAGCAAACAGCTCTTCAACCACTCCATTGACCTGGGCGCCTCGAACATGACCTCCCTGCATGGTCTCCTGCCAGCCACCCCTTAGTCCCTCCATGAGTACCCGTGCCTTCTGGGTTTTCCCTGCCTCCCCTGAAATTGGGGACTGTCTTTAATTGAAGACATCAGATTCCACAGTCTAATCCTTAGGTGTCCGCCCAGGAGCCACTCTCTAAAAACAGCTTGGATTTTAAGCTTACTATTTACATGGTGTTTAGAAAAAAAAAAAAAAAGTTTTACAAGCCCTTTCAAATAACAAATGTTTGTGACCAAAATACAGGGTAAAAGAATCATTTAAGAGTCTCTGTCATGAGTCGGTCTTAGGTCATGGGAGCCAATGGTCTCAGTGGCCAAGGATGGTGTCTCCTCTCCAGCCGTCATGCCAAATCTATCCATGAGAGACATTCTGAAAAAAAGAAAAATACGCTGTAAATCATCAGATACTTAAGTATTTTAAACACTACCACAGTGAGAGGCTACAAGTTTCCTTGTGAACTTGCCTTATTATAGGGCTGGATATTTCTAGGATTTTGGACAAAAGAGGTCTGAATTCCAGAAGCTCTGGTGGATTATGAGTCGCTAGAAGTAAATTTGACCCTTTTTTCCTTGGTTCTAAGCATTATTGAGGTACACCGTGTGCAGAGAAGATGTACGAGGAGAGTCCCCATCACAGGGATGTAACTTCTCCCCATCTTTACCGCCCTCACCCCTCTCAGTCTCTCCAATTCTCACCCCTTTCTCTCTACAATGTACTTTACCATTTAATGCATTCTCTGACCTTGCAATTGTAACAGTTTCATTTTTATTTCTAACATTTGGCTGTCCTTTAAAATGGTTTCCTAACATTCATTTCTACTGTATGAATGAAGTGGGTCTTTGCTTACCTTCAGTCTTGGGCCGTTTAAGGGAACGACTGGGCATAGTGTTTGGCTTTCCCTAAACCAGCCTCAGCGAGTTAGTGGGTGATCATACTCGCTGAGGTCTACAGTATCTCATGGACTTCAGTCCTAGAAACAAAAGTGATTTGATTTTCCAGGTAAACAATACCTTCTGTGTTAGTATATCCTCATGAATATTCAAGCGATGGGGGGGGGGCAAGAAATGAGACATAAATAGAGAAAAGGGTGCTCACTCTGCTGGTGACACCTACTTGCCCCATCCTTGTCTTGCTTGCCGTACAAAAATCTGACTTTTCTTGTACCAAGCCCACTTTGCTCCTTCATCTATTTATAGTTAACACACATTCTCAACCTAACTCTCCTGTTTTATATCATTTCACTCAGTCATCACTTCCACTCTTCAACTGAAAGACTTTCTGTTTACTTTTACCAAATCACATGATGTGAGATAAATGTTCAAATCCCTCTTTATGGGCATTTAAAGATTGCAACACTACTTTTACAAGGCAGCTATTTGATTCCAAAATGGATAAGCTACAAAGCTACAGTTGGCCTCCATCACGGCTGCAAGAGAACAGAGTCCTAGAGTTGGTTTTGCTCATAAAAAGGTAAACAATGACACAATGACACACAGATATGAAAACAAACAGAACCAGAGTGTGCCCTGCAGAATGCTCGTAGGATCCATGGGACTGATGTCACTGTAGTGGAACACTGACCTTTGGAGACCAAGTATAGACACCCAAGTGCTGAGAATTATCAGTCAATCATATTGCATAAGCAATCCTGTCTACAGTAAGTACCAGCATGGAAAACAAGTGCTAACATTTGTGGAACATGTAGTAGATGTTTAGTATGGTTGGGTGTTATACATGAGTTATTAATCTAATTCTCACAAAAACTATTAGGGCTTATTTCATTTTCAGATGGAAATGCCGAAGCCCAGAGAGGTTGTACCACTTGCCTCAGCTCACACAACCAGAACATGGCAAAGCTGGCATTAAAACCCTAACCCTCTGGCTCCAGAGTCCCCACTCTTAGCCACTGTACTTGGTCATTTCTCCCAGTATAGGTGCTCACCCTCCTGCAATAAATGCCTTCGGCATGCCAGTGTTCATTGTTATTGGAGGGAGATATTTCTATTGTCTCCCAGAATTCAGGACACTGCTCCTCATATAGAACTAAATCTGTCTGTCCCTCACTTCTTATTTTAGTCTTCTTTCCACCTCCCGAGCCACTCAGAACATGGTTTGTATCCTTTTTGTTCTCCTAGTAGTCTCCAGAGGTATGCAGGTGTCAATTGATCCGATCCATTGCATTGAATATCACCTTCACAGTGAGCAGAAGCAAGCCTATCCTAGTAGAAAAAACTGTGGTACATATACACCATGGAATATTACTCAGCTGTTAAAAAGAATTCATTTGAATCAGTTCTAATGAGATGGATGAAACTGGAGCCCATTATACAGACTGAAGTAAGCCAGAAAGATAAAGAACATTACAGCATACTAACACATATATATGGAATTTAGAAAGATGGTAATGATAACCCTATATGCAAAACAGAAAAAGAGACACAGATGTACAGAACAGACTTTTGGACTCTGTGGGAGAAGGCGAGGGTGGGATGTTTTGAGAGAACAGCATCGAAACATGTATTTTATCTATAGTGAAACAGATCACCAGCCCAGGCTGGATGCATGAGACAAGTGCTCGGGCCTGGTGCACTGAGAAGACCCAGAGCAATCGGGTGGAGAGGGAGGTGGGAGGGGGGATCAGGATGGGGAATACATGTAACTCCATGGCTGATTCATGTCAATGTATGACAAAACCCACTTCAATACTGTAAAGTAATTAGCCTCCAACTAATAAAAATAAATGAAAAAAAAAGATAATTAAACAACTCTCCACCTCTCCAGGTTCTAATAACAGACATGTCTAAAATGAAGTGAAAGAGCATTAGAAATAATATAAGGAAATAGTAAGACATGCTGATAAATATTTATTGTAGCTATTCACAGTGTCATTTAATACCCACAAATTAGAAATAATTTAAGTGTCCAAGATAAGGAAATTCACAAAGTATAAGCTAACCAGCATAAGTTAACTTAAGAATACTGGAGTGGGTAGCCTACCCGTTCTTCAGGGGATCTCCCTGACCCAGGAATTGAATTGGGGTCTCCTGCATTGCAGGCAGATTCTTTACTAGCTGAGCTATGAGGGAAGCCCAATATGACTTAATATGCATTCATTAAAATTAATGTTTGCAAAGAATAATGACAGGAAATTCTCTCAATAATGCTCATTTAAAAAGTCAAGGTTTAAAGCCATATTTATTGTCTTAATTTTGAAAAAAAAATGTGAAAACCAAAACCTCATCAACACATATATTTAGAAAAAGAACAGAAAGAAATATACCATTCTATTAATAATGGATTATCTTTTACTTCTCCTCCTAAATATCCTATATATTTTCTAAATTTTCTAAAATGGGCACTCATTGCTTTTGAAATCAGAGGGAATAGATTGTCATGCTGTGTGTTGTATGTATTATTTTAAGATCAAATGTATTCAAGAATCACCTCCAGCTGCAGCTGGATTTGAAAACTTGAGAGAAGGGAGATGGAATTGAAATACAGTCTTTCTACTATGTATTTTGATCTCAATGCTTTGACCCCTAAATTGCATTTCAGAACTCAGTGCCCAGGGAATGAGAGCAGCTGGGCCTTTCCTTTCCATGTGATGTCTCCTTTGGTCTCCTAGTGCAGTGCTCCTCAACCTTTTTGGTGCAAGGAACCTGTTTTGTAGAGGACAATTTTTCCATGAACCAGGGAGCAGGGATGGTTTGGGATGATACAAGTGCATTACATTTATTGTGCACTTTATTTCTATTATTATTAAATCGGCTCCACCTCAGACCATCAGACATTAGATCCCAGAGACTGGGTACCACTGTCTTAGTGAACAGTGCCAGGACTCTACCCGTATAGGATTGTCACATAAAATACAGGACACTCAGTTAAATTCAAAACTTAGAAACAATGAATATTGCATGGGACATACCTACATTAAAAAAATTACTCTTTATCTGAAAATCAGATTAAGCTGGGCTTCTTGCATTTTAACTGCTAACTCTGGTAACCCTCCATGCAGACCTCTTCAGATTTCCTTTACATCATTCTTGTAAAGTAAAAATGTCCCCCTTCTCCTTTACCAGGGCTTCCATGGTGGCTCAGACTGTAAAGAGTCTGTAATGTGGGAGGATTAGGTTCAATCCCTGGGTCGTGAAGATCCTCTGTAGAAGGGAATGGCAACCCACTTCAGTATTCTTACCTGGAGAATTCCAAGGACAGAGAAGTCTGGCAGGGTACAGTCCACAGGGCCACACAGAGTCAGATAAAACTGAGGGACTAACACTTCCTCCTTTGCCAGGCCCCCTCGGAACAATTCCTTATTAAACCACTTACCCAGAGATCCTGCTCAGGATGTATTTCTGGAATTCAGGAGACACTCTCGTCCCCTTTTATTGCCCCCATTTCTCTTTTTCTGTCTCTGCATCTGTCTCCTTTCTAGGTTATCTCTCTCTCCCTCATCTTCCTATTTCTCCACTTTTTTAAATGGATTATCTGAAAAATGAATATCCTCAGGATTTTTTCCAATGCATGAAACTGTTACTAGTACAAATAGTAACACAGCACAAAACTTTCCCACCAGAGGCCCACTGAGAGGAAGCCTGCAGCTAATCAGCCTCTTGACAGCAAGGCATGCCCACATCCTTGGGAAGAAGGCGAAGATGGCTCTGACACTCGGACTGACGTGGGGAGCTCTGGTCTCCCCACTCGTCTTCCCTTAAGAGCCAGCCTGCAGGGAGTGGCCTGGACTCAGCCGCACACTCATCTCTGAACTGGTGACTTCCCCTCACGCTCCTTTCCTCTCCCAGCTGCTGGGTCTCCCGGTTGTCTGAGCTCAGGTGTAGAGGACAGGAGACCCCAATGGCTGTAAACACAGTTGCCTTCTACATTTTTCTTACTCATATCAAGATGGTTTAATTTAACTGTTCAAAATTAGCTCCTCTATTCTCCGATTCTAGTCTGACAAATTGTCCCCATGGCAAAAATCCTTAACTGGGCAAGTTGATCATACGGGAGGGCAAAGAAAGAAAAAATATGGTGGTGAATGTCTTTCGTTAGGATGAGTCAGTAGGAGTAGCAGCGGCAACATTCAGAATTCAAGTAGAAAATCAGCCCTAACTAAGTCAAATCTAATTCAAGTTTTTTTTTTTTCCTCCTTAGTTTACCTTCTGAAAATTGCTATATGTCAGAGGGCAGAATAGTGTAAAAAGACATATTCTCCTAAATTCAAGGTGATCATCATTTAGGCTGGGAACAAATCTGAAGCCCTTAAAACAAGGAAGGACAAACCCAGCTCAAGCAAACAGGCAGTATCTGTTAGGATAAATTAAGCAACATGGAGAGAAGCACCCATCAGCAGGTGGAAGAGAAGATATGGAAAGGATGCTGCTACCAAATTTTGTGTTTGCAGTAGGGATGGACACAGCAAGAGCGACAATTCCTTTTGGACATAGTGCATCGAGAAGTTGGGGGTCTGTGAAGAGGAGATGCAGATCTATTTTAAAATGTTGTCATCTTTAATTTTCTCAGTGTCACTCATATTCGAGTGGACTGTTTGAACTGTTTTCTGTACATGGAAAGATCATTCCAATTAAGTTTAAATGATAAAGGGCTATTTCTACTGGCTGGGCAGCTATGAACAATATCATATCTAAGCATTTTGGGTATGCTTAGAAAGGCTGAAATAGAGTGGAGGCATGAGATACAATCATTCATTTACTCATTTTGCTACCTAATTCGTTTGGCAAATAGCTTTTGAGCACCTGCATTGTTTCTAGGCCTTTGCTAAGCAACAGATTACAAAAGATGAATAAACATCAGTATATGACATCAGGAATGTCACCATGACATAGATGAGAGGCCCAGTGATTGGTCATATTATATAAGATGGCGTTATGATACAACATCGAAAGAGACCAGCTCCACCTGGAGAAAGTGGAGATGGCTTCACAAAGGAGATTCTTCTTCAGAAAGCCTCTGTCCGTGGGATTCTCCAGGCATGAATACTGGAGTGGGTTGCCATTTCCTTCTCCAGGGGATCTTCCCAACCCAGGGATCGAACCTGGGTCTTCTGCATTGGCAAGCAAGTTCTCTACCACTGAGCCACCTGGGAAGCCCCTCAGGAAACCAGAGACCTCAAATGTACCCTATGCAAGAAGAGCATCTCAGCATGTGAAAATAGACTTTGATAAGTGCCAGCAGCTAGAGAAAGCAGGGAATATTTAAGAAATGATCAGACTCAAGTGTAAGAAGACCTCAGATGACATGGGGAGAGAAAATAAAAAACGAATCTAAAAAGCAGACAGAGGCCAGATCACAAGGCTCCTTAGCTCATGATATAAAACTTGGACACTTTTTTTTTTTGGCCGTGTCATACAGCATGTGGAATCCTAGTTGCCCAACCAGGCATCAAACCCATGCCTCCTGCAGTGGAAGCATTAAGCCTGAACCACTGGACTGCCAGGGAAGTCCCTGGACATTATTCTTTGAAGATGCAAGTCACTGAGTACTTTTAACAGGGAAAGAGTGACCAAACTTACCACATTTTAGAAAGATCACTCCTGTTTTATTGTCTTCATTACGAGAAAGCCAGGGTGCAAGCAGGAAGTCTGTTACATCCTCTCGTTGTTCAGTCACTCAGTCATGTCTGACTCTTTGTGACCCCATGGACTGCAGCATGCCAGGGCTCCCTGTCCTTTACCATCTCTCAGAGTTTGCTCAAACTCATGTTCATTGAGTCGGGGATGCCATCCAACCATCTCGTTCTCTGTCCTTCCCTTCTAGGGAAGCTAAAATGGGGTCAGAACTAAACCTATAGGAGTGGGGTTGGGGGAAGAACTGAGGAATTAGACTATGAACAAAGAAAAGGGGGAATAAAACGATGTCCAAGTTTTGGGGTTGGATGCAGAATATTAAGGCATACGAGATAGAGAGGAGGCTTCCAAGGGATTAGAGAAGCAGCTTTAGCAATGCCAAATCTGAGATGCTTGTGGGACATCCAAATGGAGATGTCTTTGTGCTGTTTAATGTGAAGCTCAGTAGAGAGATCTGGGCTGACTTATTATTTGGGAATTGAGTCTCTGAGGCTGTGAATCAACACTGTCCTGAATGGTAATATATAAGGGGTAGGAAAGAAGAAGAGTAGCCAGTGAAAGAGACTGAAAAGAATGAGCCAGAGGTATAGGAGAAGAACCTGGAGCCTGATTGCCAGGAGACAGGGAAGACAGAGTATCAAGAAGAAGAAGAGAATGGTTAACTCTGCCAAATTCCTTAGCAAAGAAATCACACTGGGCAGTTGGATTCAAGTCTGACTGCAAGATGGCCACCAGCCACAGGGAGTCAGATCGTATTCCAACCCAGGGGAGAACTTCCCAACAATAAATACATCTAGTGTCCTGTAGGCAATACGCTGTTGGTAAATATTAAAGCTGGGGATGTTTAACAGTTGAATTATTTGTCTGATGAGAGCTATACAGGAGCTCACTAGACGGGGGCAGGCTGCCTACCAGGCAGAGATTTATAAAGGGCAATCTGCACTGGGTAGGGATCAGTATGAACAGGGACCTTTGAATATTTGGATGGCAAACATTTGGGGCGAATAGTTTTAGATTTGTTTTCCTTTAAATTTTGAAAAGAAATGGCTTTGGGCAAATGAATAGTGAAAGCCCCAGCCACCACTTACTCACCATGCCGTTTGAGGTCATTCTGGTAACCCTGTGTCACATTTCCTCATCTGTAAACTTAGAGGCATATCATCTAACCCATCTACTTCATGGAGAACAAATGTTGTGTTTAGTGTTTGAGAACATTCAGAGAAAGAGGAGGGTCATGGAACGGCCCAGGCCTGGGAGAGCTCAGCCTGGCTTTGCTATTCTTTCACTAGGTCAACTTAAGCAAGCTTTTTTCTTTTTCTTACAAAATGCAAGGCAGAGACAAGAGGATGTCTAAGGTCTTCAATTTCTTTCAGGCTGTAAAGATCAACTCTTCAGTACAATCACCCCTGTCCTCTTTGCCTGATGCAGGGTGGGAAGGGCTTTTGAAATACACACTGACGCGGCCCGTCTTCAGTATAGTCCAGTGGTAGGACTGGGGGAGGCCATCCATTACTGCCTGCACTTTCCAGGTGATTCAGATGCTCCATAAGTTTGACTGTGATGGGTCTGAGGTCACAGAACTGACAAAGGTTGAACTCTCCTGTCTCCCAAATCCGTGATCTTTCTAGCCCTCATGGCATCATATGTTTCCACTGGGCACAGTCATCCTTAGGCAGAAACCTCGATCGCTAAGGAAGGGGATGAAACTGCCCATGGAAGACCTGAGTTGGAGTCTCAACCTGTCTTTGGCATACACATGGGAGAAGGACGTTTTCCCTTTTGGGGTGGGGGGCTCAAATTCTGCACACACAGATGGAGAGGCCTCCCACCCTGCAGCCTCACAGGACAGTTCAGAGGTTGAAATGGGATGAGGGAGGCAGGCTGGGGAGCTCGGGGACAGGCAAGGCTCCTTCTGCCGGCTGACTGCATAGCAATCTCGTGGCTTTCCAGTGCCACAGGTCCCAGCATGCTTGCGGTCCTCTCCTGATGGCCTGGGTAAAACACCCCTCAGAGGGACTGGACTCTCCCTCCCATTCAATCCAAATATTTAGCTTCGAGTTTGCCTCAGCTGGGCTTTGGCAAGGCATGTTTGGAGGAGGAGGCAGCTCCGAGGGGCACTCCTTTGAAGCTCCACATGTCCTACAGTGATGTGGGGCCAGGGCCAAGCGAGTGGAGCTTTGAGGCCGGCGGCAGGTTTGTGATGCTCTGGGGGCCGCTGATTTGAGCTGAGGGGGCCCAGGGCCCAGATGCCCGCATGGTGGTGGTTTAGTTGCTAAGTTGTGTCTGATTCTTGCGACCCTTTGGACTGTAACCTGCTAGACTCCTCGGTTCATAGAATTTTCCAGGCAAGAATACTGGAGTGGGTTGCCATTTCCTTCTTCAGGGGATCTCTCGTGACCCAGGAGTCGAACCCTGGTCTGCTGCATTACAGGCAGATTCTTTACCGATTGAGCTACCAGGGAAGAAACTGGATGCCTGTGTGGACAGGAGCTATCAAGTAGCTCTCTCAACCAGAAGTAGAACCTTGTACACCTTCTCAGCCAGCTCCCAGGTAGCCCTGGTAATCTCTGGAGGGTGTGGGAATGGGAGAAGAATAGATACTTATTCTAGTTATGGAGCCCATTTGTGAATTTCTTTGGGTGCCTGCTTACTATTACTGCCAGTGAACTATTTGGGGAAGATATGCTTCTGGCCCCTGACACTTTAGATTCTGGGGACTGAGGAAACATGAGACTCATAATAACTTATAGCTATGATGGGTCCCAGGTCACATGGGGCCCGCTGTACCACTAGACCATCAGGCAAGGAAAGGAGTTACCACAGCAGCAGTTGTAATTAACTGTGATCTTGTGGAGGAAGGACTGCTGTTTCACAATGAAACACAGAATGTGTGTGGCCTCAGGTCGTCCCCTAGCTTCTTCCACTCTGCCTGGCACTCACTAAATGTTTACGCTTAAAGGCATGGTGTCCCAGAACTCAGACCCTCAGGACTCAGACTGGTTACCACAGGATGCAAGCTACCTAGGTAGGTGAGGTGCTGACCCGGAGAATTCGGGAGATGGACCTGGAAGCATGGAGGACCGGAGGTGATGAACCTCATCCTCTCAGGACTGACCGCAGTGTCAGACCTGGAGTGAGTCTCATGAAACCTCTCTAATCTGTGCCCTTGGGAGCTGTGATCAACTGGGCTCTTGAAGAAGCTGTGCCTGGATGAACGAACCTTAATATGAGAAACCTGGGCAGCAGAGCAGGACAGAGTGTGAAGGTTGTAAGTGCCGTGAGTGCCTCTAGCATCTTCTTTCCTGGGACGGTGCACCTGTTTCCCACAGCCTCTCCCTGCTCGAGAGGAGTACATTCTATTGATTGGGAACCATATCATCAAGGACCTTATGCACATCCTCCAGCCCTCCTTCTCCCACCCCTTCCCCTCTCCTCCATTTCTCATACCCAGCCGATGGTGGTATGCGTGTGCGCTCAGTCACTTCAGTTGTGTCCGACTTTTTGTGACATCATGGACTGGAGCCCCCACCCCCACCCCCAGGCTCCTCTGTCCATGAGAATTCTCCAGGCAAGAATACTGGAGTAGGTTGCCATGCCTCCTCCAGGGGATCTTCCCAACCCAGGGATCGAACCCAGGTCTCCCACACTGCAGGCAGATTCTTTACTGTCTGAGCCGCCAGGGAAGCCCTAGCCAATGGTGATCTGATGCAAAATTGCAAAAGCATGGAGCTCCATTGTGAAGGTGGGGACTGAGAGTACCATTCATGCTCCAGAGTTCACTGTGGGATCAGGCTGAGGTGAGTTCCAGCTGAGACCACAGCCAGGTTTAGAGTCTCTTTTGTCAAATCCTTTTCACTTCTCTCCTTTTCTCCTAACCAAACACTCTGATCCCCAATTTGGGCTCTGTTTCTAGGCACCAGCCTTAAGTCTTACCAGGCTGAGCATCCTATGAGGCCCTCTATGTGCATCATCTCACAAAATCTTCAGTTAAACCTGTGAGATAGTATTTCCCATTTATCTTTATTAGCAATCTGAGGAAACCAAGGCTCAGAGTACTGAAGTAACCTGAAGTTGTGCAGCTCATAGTCAAGTGTGAATCTGTCTCCAAAGCCCCTGGCTCTCATCCCTATTCATTCCTGCAGAAAAAATGGAAATAGTGTAGTTTAATGCTGTAGAAATAGTAGCAAACCCTATCAATGTGGGAATGCCCTGGATAAAGAAACTGGATAAAGAGACTTCGAGAAGAAAAGGCTCCAGAGAGGGGAGACTAAGGTCTGGAAAGCCCTGATATGCTGTCGATTAAGAGAACATCTTAGGTAACCTCCTAATCCCCGAAAGTGTCCACACCAAGACCAGAGCATAAACAACAGAGACGGATCAAGGAAAATAACTGTAGCTAGAGGCAAGTAGCAGGTATAAACCCCTGATTTTCCATTCAGCTCAACACCATGATGGTCATGAGAAGAATTCTATGGCTAGGCCTGCATGGCTTAACCCTCTTTGGATCGGTCTGACTGCCTTGAGTCTGAGTAACTGCATGACTGCTTGCCCAAACTAGGCCGACGTTTACAGATCAGAGGCCCCACGTGCTCTGTCTCAGAGGGACATCACAGAAAGCAGAGAGAGAGGATTGCGCCTCCCTTTGAGTGCAATGCATATAAACGTTCAGTTTTCTTCCATCTAGACATGGAGGACCCCACAAATCTTGCCTTATTCAGGGAGTGGGTCAGCAGAAAAAATGCAAAACAATGGTGTTGATGAGAATAAACAGTTCTTACTATGTGCCAGATATTGCTCCAAGCAGTTTATGTGACAAGCTCACTTAATTCGTAGAGCTATGAGGTAAATGAGGACTACTATCATATCCATTTCAACAGTGAGGAAACTGAGGCACAGATAAGTTATATGTGGTCTTTTTCTTTTTTCTTGTCCCTTCTTTCCACCACCACCCCAGTGCTGTACAGTAGGCCCTCACCAGCCGTCGACTTCATACATAATAATGTATCATGTTAATCCCAGTCTCCCAATTCATACCACCACCACCCCCAACATGGTGACTATATGTTTGTTCTTTATATCCTGTGTCTCTATTCCTGGTTTGCAAATAGGTTTGTCTGTATCATTTCCCTAGATTCCATGTATATACGTTAATATACAGTATTTTTTTATGACTTATTTCACTCTGTATGACAGTCTCTAGGCCCATTCACGTCTCTGTAAATGGCACAAAATCTTTCCTTCTTATGGCTAAATAATATTCCATTGTCTATATGTACCACAACTTCTTCATCCATTCTTCTGTTGATGGAAATTCCATGTTGCTTCCATGTCCTTTTGCAGTCTTTCATGAATGTGCAGTAGTTTTCCAGAGTCTATGTGATGTGTGATATTACCATAGATTAACGCAGAAGCTTATATGAGAATCAGCCTTCTTCTGTTCAACCAAACATTAAACAAGTTGATTTTTCTCACACTTGCCTTTTAAAAAATTATAGTTATTTTGATAAAATTATGTTAACTATATCAAAATATAGTGAGATCATTATGATTATTTTTAAATGAACAAATAAATATTAAAAAACTGTCCTCAGTTTAGTCTTTATTATGTTAAATATTGATAGATATAATCTACATAAAATGTTTAGTTCCTCTGTAGTTCTAAGAGATTCTGATACCAAAAAGTTTGAGAACCTTTAGTTTATTTCATTCTATAATCCTGGATACCTCCCATGCGTTCATCTTGGCAAAATATAATTTGATGAATAAAATCTGTAGCATGTTCCCTGGTACTTGGTCAAATGTAACCACAGTTTTGTCAAGTTTATTAATTAGTTCACTGGTCACAGGTCCTTCATGAAGAATATTTCCTTTGCCCCTGGAGACACTCTGCTTCCTAAATAACTAAATGTTTATTGAAATATCAAGGAAAGTTGGCACTTATGTATTAAGAATGCTACCTGCTATGTTGGAATCAGAGGGTGGGGGAGAATAGGATGAGAGGAGTGGAGGCTGGAGAATGGGTTCAACAGGATGCATGTGGATGAGGAGGGTCCCTTGTCTAGGTCGAGGAGTGACCTTGGCTACTGTAAGACCAGGAAGTAAAGAAAGCTGGATATTCTTCTCTGGAATGGCCTTGCTCCCCTCATCTAACTCAGACTTGGTTGTGGGAGAGAAATGCTGTCATTATACCACACCATCCCCTCATTTAAAGGAACCCAAATTTAGGTGAACCTCAACTCAAGATCATGGTTGAAGGAAAATGAGGAGTCATTTGAAAAAAAATATTTTCTAAGGGAAAATAAAAAGCTCTTTAAAAAAATTAAAGTGATTCTACCTACTGATTAATAGAAAGTTTTTTTTTTTTTTTTCTATAGCTGACATTTTCTCAAATCTTTCTGCTGAGATGAATGTCTTCAACAGATTGATGATCTTGGGGAAGGGTATCCATCTCCATGGTTGCATACTTAGAAGGATAATTAAATGATTAAACTTGGAATCATGTAGTTAGTGTTTTCCAGAGGTTGGCTTACCACTGTATGGACAAAGGCTAGAGCAATTTCTGGCATGTGTAGGTGTTCAGAAAATGCTTGCTAAGTGGAAAGCAGGAGAGAAGGGAAGAAAGGAAGGAAGGAAGGAAGGAAGGGAGAAAAGTTTTCATCATTCTGACTGATCAGTTTTAGAAGTTATACTTGTGATATTATTCCATGGAAAAGCATTTGGCCTAATTAGAGATAAGAAAAATCTATTTTTCCCACTGAACTTATAAAGCCCAAAGCAATCATCTTAATATAAGGACTGTGTTTATTTACCATTCCTTAATATAAGGAATGGTAAATGTTTCTAAAGAAAAATGATCCTGTGTGAAGAGCGTGCACCCATCTGTTGACTAAGGGGACATCCTACTTCCGCTATGACAAATTTAGAAACAGAGAATCCTCTGTCTCTCTGAGTCTAGTAGATGTTGCTTCCCGGCCACTCTTGCATCATAACTGAGTCAGTAAGTATTTTGGCTCCTTCTCTCCTAAAACAGTTTACTCCTGCCTGCTCCTTAAATACAGGAGTTGAAAGGAAATGTGTGGATTCAGAAAAAAAAAAAAAATACCCCAGAGCCACCTTTAAATGCATTTTTCCAAGGCATATCAAAATATCCTTGGAATTTGTTGTGAAAATTTGACCACATCCTAGTTAGCATGAGGTTAAAATTAACTATAACATGTGTTTTAGGGATCTCAATTTGAAAAATATTAATAGAGTTCATGGGCAGTTAACTGCAATAAAGGGAGGAAATGAAGTTTATAGTGCAAGGCCCTGGGGATTACAATCTTCTCTACCCCTGAGCACATTCGTATCCCAGAACTCGACATGAGGTGAAGGAGGAAGCTATAAAGGGAGTATTGGGGGGAAATCTCAAGACTAACGTAATGGATCTCCTTCTCTTCCCTCCAGGAAGGGGTGCAGTATGTTAGCAATGGCTTCACCTAGGCCTGGCCTCTTTCTGGTTATACAAGAATCTCATGATTTAGCCAGAGCTGCAAAGGCAGGGTCCTTCACCAGAGTCATAGCTACTGTAATATCAGGAGAGAGCTCTGACTCATTCCTTATAAACTCTCTGAAAACATTAAGTATAAATTAGAAATTTCCCGAGCTTGGCTCACCAGTTGAATTGCTTAGGCAAGAGAAAGTCATGGAAGACATCCTGGTTTAAGAATTTGCAATCCTGGTTTGATTTGTAAACAGTTGGAACAATAGAGGCCCCACAGAAATACCAGGAACTGTTATTATTAAGACCTCCTTTTACTCTCATGAGAGACTCTTCTGATGCCAACTCATATGGGAATTGTATTTGATAACTTCTTGATAACATTTTTCTAGACTTATAATCAGTTGCTATGGATCTTCAGAACACTGAGAAATGAAAAGAAATATGTGAGGTTTGTTTGTTCCTTTAGCTGCTTGTTTTCATTAAAGTCAGTATCTGCACAAATGTAGTCTTTTTAATTGTGCACACTTTGTGCCTTAGTTTATCTACATGCAGTGCCTGGCCAGAGGTAATTTGTCTTCTGAAGAGAATGTCCACATGTCTGAAATATCAGAATTATGGGCTCTGTCCTTCCCCCAACCCCCATCCCTACCCCTGCACCCTGCAGACTTTGTCTTTCTCAGTCCAAGCCAAGGTAACTGTCAGTTGGCTCAGACCCATGATGCATGGAACCTGGAATCTGTCCTTTCCCACAAGTCCTGAGCCCCAAGGAAACTGAAACAGATCTTAAACATCTAGGAATTATGGAGTGGGAGGCCTTTCACTCCCCAGAATTATGCCAGTTATAGGCAGGGGTCAGTTGCCATGCCAAGCAAAATGGATAATCTTGATACCATTGAGCTAGTTAGTACCACATTAATGGAACTGCTTTGAAACCTATGAACTGGACCCCTGACCACATTCATGGATGGCCTCTACATGATACCTTCACTCAAGATACACTCCAGTAGGCCCA